TCAGCAGGGACATGGTGGGGATTCGCCTTGTGTTTTAGTCAGGGCAGTCTGGTGGCTGTGGGAAGGGACACTAGCGGTGAACTTGGAGACAGGGAGACAGTAAAGGGGCCCTTGTAAAAATCCAAGCGAGATAAGAGGCTCGGAATTCCCTCCCTGCCAAAGAGCAGCTTCCCAAGGGGGAAAGTATTTGAGGCAGGTGGCACCTCCCTGGGCCTTGGTTTACTCCCTGCCTGACAGGCAAGGACACTGCTGGCTGCACCACACAGTTGGCACCACCGGGAGTGCCCCGGTTGGGGGCTGCCACCACCCTCAGAGCTGGGAGCAGCCGGGCGTAGGGCCCTCGGAGCACGTGGCCCCGCCCCCGCCCCTGCCCCTGGGCCGGATTGGCTCAGGCAGGGGGCGGGGCCAGCGCGCTCGCCGCTCTAGGTTTTTCCGCATTGGTGGTCGAGGCGGCTCGAGCCCGGAAGCTGGCAGGGGCGGAGGCGGCGGAGGCGGCGGCGCCTCGGGCCCGCCGGGGTTGCGGCTCTGTCTTCGACTCGGCTCGTCCGGCTCACGGCCCGGCAGCAATGCATCCCCCGCCTCCGGGCCCGTTGGGCGACTGCCTGCGGGACTGGGAGGAGCTCCAGCAGGACTTCCACGGCATCCAGGTAAGTGCTGATGCGGGCCCCCATTGGTTCCGAGCCATGTCTGTCTGGCTCTGGGTCAAGGGTCGGGTAGCCCCGGGTCGGGCAGCGGGGAGCTCGGGGTCAGGGGTCGGGGACCCTGGTGTCGCTCCCGACAGCGGCGAGGCCCTGGGTCCTGGTGTCCCCGGTTGGACCCTCCCCTCGGCCTCAAATGAATGTTCGGCAGCGGGACCTCTTCCCCGCGCGGCCGCCGCGACCCCGGAGTGACCCCACTGACCCAGGCGGACCTCCGGCCTCCCTCTGAGGCCTCGGAAAGAGGCCCCGACTCCGACCCGGTCCCCTCCCAGGAGAGTCCGAGCTGACCGGGGCCAGTCTTGTGTCAGTTACTGAGCAAATGCGCCGTGGGCGCCGGCCGGGCCGGATCGGCGAGGAGCGCCTTCCCAGCCCTCGGGCCGCGCGGTCTGGGCTGTGTGTGGCTGGGGAGCAGTCCGGGAGGCAGCCTGGCCTAGGTCGGGGTAAGTGGTGTTTAGGTGAAGTCCCTGGATGGGGGCGGGGCCCATCCAGGGTGAAGGACAGCTCCCACTGAGACAGGACCACGTGGCTGATGCAGAGAGTGAGGGGAAAAGTGGGTGGGCCAGACCCTGCCAAGAGACCTCACGGCCTGACAGGGATTGGAATCTCTCTGAGACCAGTGGGAAGCCAAGGGAGGAATCGTCTGGATCTGGCTGCTATGGGCCACTGTGCTGTTCTGTGGGAAGGCAGACAGGAGTGTGTGGTGGCTGGGGGTAGGCCGAGGTTGCCCCTCCTGGGCGTGAGAAACAAGACCCCAGGCAGGGTAGAGCCCAGGTCAGCTGGGCACTTGATCAGGACTTTGCCTCTCCTGGACTGGTTCCAGCCCTTTCCTGTCCACGTTGAAGCCTGACTGCCCCTGGCCTGGTCAAGCTGCTGCCATTAGTGCTTCCCAGCTTGGTCACCACTGTCCTGGCCTCAGCCCCTGCCTGACCTTCCTCACACTGCTCCTTGCCTCATCTCTAGGCTGTTCCTTCTCAAAACTTACTCACTGGGGCAAAGTGCTCTGGGAAGCCTTGGGTCAAAGGTGTTGGGGGAAGAGTAGAGGAGTGGTCTTATAGCAAGAGGTCCAAGGGCTAAAGCCTGATGACCTTTACTCCGGGAGGAAGATGCTGGGAGTGCCAGAGCAGCAGGCATCTTGGACAACCTCATCTTCCCCTGCACTTGCAGGCTTCTAGGCAGGAGGATCTGAGAGGGCCAGGGATGGCTTTAGGTAGCCTGCTTGGGCCAGAAGGTAGACCCATGAGCCTAGAATCCAGATTCAGGACAGGCCAGAGAGGGGCGGGAACAACTAGTAGGTGGGCTGAGACTAAGAAAAGCTTCAGAGAACTCCTCTGTTTCTGGGAGAGGGGGGTACTGTGGGGGCTTCTGGGCTTACAGGGAGACCCCTGCCTCCTTGCCTGCCTTCGAGAGAGAGTACTCTCAGGGAGTTCCCTGGGCTGGCACAGCTGGCTGTCTCCTTTCCTGC